ACAAGGAAAGTTTTCTAGTTAAACACTGATTTTATTTATTTTTTACCGTTGGGAGAATCTTTTGATCTCAAATTTTGCCCCTATATGGTAATATGAGATGCTTAAAGATTCGTCAGGTCCTTATATATGGAAAAATATACATACATGACGTGTCACTAATTAATTAATCTATGATTAATTTTTATGGAAAATATTTAAAAATTCTCAAGGTATAGAAATATATTTTCCGCCTAATACAAATTGCTTATTTATTTCAAGGGTAAACCATTTCAGTTTATAATTACAATTTTAAATGATAACGTAAAATTTTAATCATGGCCATTGAACTTTCAACAAGATTTCATTTAGATTACTGAATTTTAATTTGTTTCAATTGAATAGTAAAACTTCAATTACATTTAAATTTCATCGCTTCGTTGAGGATGACAACTTTTTCCACCCCTAACTACCCCACATTGCGGGGCTCAAATAGGGCGAGGACAAAAAATTCAATCAAAATTTCTAAGACTAATTCATGTTCATCCAAAAAAAGTTGGGGACCAACCAAAAGAAAGTTTTTTCCAACCATTAGAGTTGTTGAAGCACGAAAAAAATAAATAATAATTAAGATACGCCCCTATGTTGTGGGTTTCTTTTCAAGGATAGCGACCATAATTCAAATTTCTTTATTATATAAACCAATTAAAGGTGCCAAAATATAAGAAGTTGGGCCTTGCTAGGAAAAAGTCGAGCTAAGTAAAATTGAACCTTAATCATAACATTATAGTCTAAATACTATTTGAACCTGAGTAACGTTATTTAACACTACTGGTACCAGTTTAGGTGGCACTAATGTAACTTTATTAATTGAGTCACGTAATTTCATCTTTCATTAAATCTTTAATAGTGTCTGCGATGCTAGAAAGCATTATTCTTTCAACACATTGACAGATGGTGTGAGGCCTTAAATATGGAGGTTTCTCACAATGAAGATATAAGGTTGAGATAGTAAAACCCATTGCTCCATACAAAGAGAAGTCTACAAAGATTGAAATTGCATATAATGAAAAAAATAATGTGGATCAAACAGGCCATTAATGCTACAATCAAGTAATCAGTTGACAATCTTTTGAATATTCTGACTATATTAAGAGCTCTAAAGTTGACTTCTTCAAACTTTATTATTAACACTTTTCAATTAGATTATTGACCGGTATAAACTATTATCTTCTTTGAATGTGTCTAAGAGTTCGTTTGGCAGGACTTTTATTTTTGTTTTTGCTTCTTGTAAAAGAGTAGTTGGAGGAAGCTTTCTTTATTTTATCTGAAAACTAATTTTTAAAAGAGTTTCATATTTCGAAAGTACTTTTAGAAAAAATCACATTGGATATGTTTTCTCTAAAAACTCTTCTAATTAAAAGAAGCATTTTCATAAAATTAGTCAAACGAGTCTAAAAGTAATTTTTGGATTTCAAAAGCTCATTTTTGCTTTTCAAAAACTATGCCAATCGAGCTCTAAACCAACTTAAATTTCTTTGCAATTTATCTTCAATAAGTGCGAACCTTGACCAACCCTCGAATGTCCGCATTGTTTGTTTTCAAAATGATTTTATTCTTAGCTAAACTCAATTTTGTAAAAATGTTGTTTCTTTAGTGTTTTTCTTATTGATGAACCATAATTTTTTGAATAATACTATTTAGCACCAGTTTAAATGCAACATGTGATAAGTCCTAATAAATGAATCATAAATTCATATATTTAATAGAACTTGAAATTTAATGACACGAGTGATGTCATCTACAACGATATTAAATATCAATGACGATAAATATCATCACTTTAAATTTTTTCTATAGATCTTCGAAGACTCGTTAAAAAACACTTAAATATATAATATTTTTCACTAACATAATCTCCAATTTTCTCAATCACCGGAAACGCATTTCAGTATTTGTATCTCATAGGATATGAGGATACCGTTGACGTCATTACTGTTCGACTATCTTTATTATTTCGTTCTCGCTTAAGTGGGGCATTCATCCTCCCAGTATGTTGCATTGAAGTAAGAGGTGATTGAACCCCGTTTGGTCTCATTAAAATTATAATTTATTTTTCTTAATATTTTTCGATAAAATAATATTACACGTAAATTTAAATTTGTTATATCTTTTTTAACTACACATTCTTAAAAAAAATCACTATTCTAAAATACATTATCGTCAAAGACTCGTTATAATGGAGGCCAAACAAGCGGTGAATGTCACAAAGTGTAGGAAGGCAATGGGCTAGGGTGGAGCCGAGTTGCCTTGTCAAGGATTAATTTTCGGAGGTGGGTCAACAATGAAAATTCAAATATTTCTATTTATCGTCAGATTAAATTATTTTTTAAACACAATAAAATTAAAAAGATATTTTGTGATCCTTAACTAAGTGATGAAATTTAAACTTAATTGAAGTTCAATTATTCAATTGAAACAAATTAAAATTTAGTAATCTAAATGAAATTTTGTTGAAAGTTTAATGGCCATAATTAAAATTTTACGTTATCATTTAAAATTGTAATTATAAACTGAGTTGGTTTACCCTTGAAATAAGTAAAACAATTTGTATTAGGCGGAAAATATATTTCTATACCTTGAGAATTTTTAAATATTTTCATAAAAATTAATCATAGATTAGATAAGAATCAATACATTAATTAATTAGTGAGTGAGTAGACAATATTGGACTGGGATGTACTCTTTTTTCAGTGTTGTCCATGGGAGTACAATCTACTTAGTGGAAATTGCATGAAACCAGGCCTTTTCTATTAGGTTTTAAAAAATGAGTTTTTCACTATTTTTTTCCAGTTATCAGGTTTTTCTTTTCTTT